AAAAAAAAATAAGAACATCAAATAGAAAGTTCTAAAGCCTTTCAGAGGGAAAAAGCTGATCATCTACAAATGAATAAAAAATCTTATCTAGATTCAAGCCCAAGAATTTGCATTTCTAACAAGTTCCCAGGTGATATTAATGCTGCTGGTCCAAGGACCACACTTTGAGAACCACTGTAATATATTTCACTCAGAAATTGAATATCAAACAGCAAAAAAAAATCAGAGATATAAAATATCTGAATAATACAAAATAAGCAATTAAATATACAGAGAATCCCATATCTAACAGAGTCCACATTCTATGGGACATTTACTAAAATAAACTATGAGGCTCATTATAAGGAAACCTCAATAAATTTCAAAAAATAAATATTGTGCAGACTCTATTTTCCAACCATAATGAAAAAATAAATAAAATTTAATTTCCTTAAAGTGAAACTGGTGGTGCTGGATTGGAGTCAAAGATATCATGGTGTTTTTGAGATAAATGAGATGAAGAGAGAGAAATGCAGATGTGTGTATATACATAAGTTACTATACAAACATGTATTTCCTAGTTCTATTTACCGAGAGGCATTAGAAGCAATGACACTCCAGTAAAAACGAACACATCTGGTACTCCAATCTTGGTTTCCAAAGACCATTCTCCAATAAAAGGAGCAAGGCTCCCTAGAAAACTGGATGATTTCAAGGTTAGGCAAAGAAAACACAAGATAAGTCTGGAGCATCTTGCTGTGTCAGAAAGTAAAGAAGTGTGTAAAGAAAAAAGGACGGTAGCACGTCAAAAGGCATAGGAACAAATCTGAAAGACCTTCCAAAGGCCAAAGTTACAATTTGAGCAGCAAAAATAATGACAGTATTGGATTATAACCCAAAGAATAAAATAAATGTCCATGAGTCCATACTGGTATAAATAAATAAATGAACTACATAAATAAATGGGGGAAAGGATAACTCTTCCTTGCAGAAGCAATCTGATTAATAAACGTAGAAGGAATGACAGAATTAGAAAATCGCCCTTAGAATAATAGGCAAGATCCACCGAGGAATGAAAGAGTGGGCAAATGTTTAAGCAAAAATAGGATATTTAGATAGACTGAAAGTATCTCCCTCTAAATACTTAGTAATTTCAAAGGGAAAAATAGTTACTTTTACACTAGAAAGTTCTGACAACCACCTTAACCAAGTGATCAAAGTTAATATCACCAGTAATACGTATTGACATTATGGACCCCTGAAATTATGTTCTGATACCTCTGTGGTATCCTACCCATTTATGCATAATCTCATTCTAATCATGTGGAATCATCAACTAAACCCAGATTGAGGGGCATTCTACCTCGTGGCTGACCAGTACTCGTCAAAAGTGTCAAAGTTACAAAAGACAAAGAAAGACTGAGGAGCTGGAGCAGATTGGAGGAACTTAAAAGAGACAGAACGATTAAATGCGATGAGGAATCCAGGATTAGATCCTGTGAACAGAAATAGGATATTACTGGAAAACTGGTGAAATCCAGACAGGTTCTGTATGTTAGTTAGTTAGTTAATACTGTACGTAGGTCATTTTCTTAGTTTCTTTTTTTTTTTTTGGTGAGGAAAACCCGCCCTAAGCAAACATCTCAGCCAATCTTCCTCTATTTCATTATGTGGGTCACTGCCACAGCATGGCTGATGAGCGGTGTAGGTCCATGCCCAGGATCTGAACCCACGAACCTGGGCCACCAAAGCAAAGCGTGCCAAACTTAACCACTGTGCCACCAGGTGGCCCCTCATTTTCTTAGTTTTGACCATTGCTCTGATCACAAGATGCTGACATAGGGGGAAGCTGAGTGAAGGGCATCCGAGAATTCTCTGTTGTATTTCTGCAACTCTTCTGTAAGTCTAAAATTATCTCAAAATAAAGAATTAAATATTAACTCTTAATGAAGTCATATCCAAAACCTCAACAAAATAGAAAATTATTTTATTTTATTTTTTTTTATAATTTTATTTATTTATTTTTTCCCCCAAAGCCCCGGTAGATGGCTGTATGTCATAGCTGCACATCCTTCTAGTTGCTGTATGTGGGACGGGGCCTCAGCATGGCTGGAGAAGTGGTGCGTTGGTGCGCGCCCGGGATCCGAACCCCGGGCCGCCAGCAGCGGAGCGCGCGCACTTAACCGCTAAGCCACCGGGCCGGCCCTAGAAAATTATTTTAAATGTATAGCTGTGCCCAGAATGGAACGTGAAACACTCAAAGGCATTTTTTTCATTTTTAAATTAATAATAACCTAATATATACATCAGATTTTAGCTTTCACAGCTTTTCCACCCATATTTTGCAACAATTCAAAACCAATAGAAAACCTAAGAGTAAATATATAAAGGTTTTGTGTTACCAAAATATTGAAAGTAAAACTCTAGAAAATGTTAAATAACAGTATACAGTAGGCAGCCTTTGTCATTCTTATTCCCACCCCCACCTACTTGCTTCCTGCCTGAGAACTCTCCCATCAGCACCCTCCAGCCGCGGCTGGTTGGGCCTGGGGTAGACAATGAGCCTGAAGAAGGCAATCCATTGACTGGACTGAATCACTCAGACCCTCTCTCTCTCCGGTAATATGGAATCCAGACACCAGACACTCTAGTATTTCATTGATGCCAAGATGCACATTTTTGCACATTTTATCATTTTTAAAATCACAAGGCATCTTACAATAGCTTCTGCATCATATTTAATAGACAGTATTTTTTCTTAGTAATACATAATGTAATGGTGCATCTTAAAGTATTCGGGATATAGAGTACAATATAGTATGTGTCTCTTGAACACTTGGGTGGGAGACCACATAGGTCTGGTGCTGCTATGAAGAGAAAGGAAAGAATGAAGCAAACATATGGAGGAAATACAGAGATGAGAGACCTTGTGGCCCCAGAGAAAGATAAAGTAATTTTTCTGTGAGATAGCAAGAATTGCTGCTTTGGCTCCTGGTAATACTCCACTTCGCTTATCTAACCTTTTGTGTGGCACTTTCATGATTAGGTTCTGCAAGTTACTTTCATATCCTTACAATAACCCCTTTTCTTACTAAAAAATATACACTAAAACATGTAGGTTATTCAAGGACCCCAAAAAGATTAGTAAATCAGCCAAATTTTCCAGAATTTCTGGAAGAAATTTGTCATATGCATTGAATGTGTCTAATGTGAAAGGTGCTATGGTTTGCTGTCCATTCATCTTATCAAAGTTGTTATCACTAGGACAAAGCTGGCCAAAGACCACAAAAGGATGTTTAAAGATGAAGCTAAATCTCATCAAGAAGGCGCAAAGGCAAAAATAACAAAGAAATTAGGAAGAAAATGCAAGCACATAATTGTGTTCTACACAAATTCAATTAATCTGCTAAAATGAAGAATCCAAGGATTATGTGTTCTCTCTTTTAAAAACACCGCTGGAGTAGTGGATGCTTGCTTCCCATATAACATTCAAGTTTCTAATTTATTTTGTGATTCTAGTTTTTCAATTCTATAGACACGGAAAATGAATTCCACATGAAGTTAACATATTTGGTAGCACTGTTTTTATGGGTTGACTTGTGTACTTGAATTTAGAATTGGGCAAATGAAAAAGATTCATAGGGCACAAGTCATTGATACTTGAGTGTTTTTTTTTATTATATACTCATATGCTTATGATAAATAAATGACAAGCAATAGGATATATTGGAGTATATGAGGAAGCCATTTGGGTTAAATCTAATTCGGCCTGAACTTGTTTTTCCAAAAGGGCCTGACGCGGCCTGTTGTGCATGCATTGTACATCTGCTTTACATATTTACTATGTCCAAAAGACAAGAATGATGCCCCTAAAGATAAGGATGTAACTTCCCCCACATTGGCATTTCCTTAAGGATAAGCATCTCTCCCTAAACTAAGGACTGATTGCTGAACTCTGGTACTCACCTTGTGACCACCCACGTTGCGACCACCGACTTGCTGTGTTCATCAAATTGCTGTGCCAGCAAAGCAATCTTGTGACTATTATAAAAGGGACATTCCTGTCATATGTGACGTATGCTCTTTGTTCCCAGATGGTGTGTAACCATTCTGTACACCCCACTTCTTTGGTGCCCTTCCTTCCTTAAGGAAGGGAGGCCCTTGGCTAGTCCTCAGATCTGGCTCCTAATAAACTCACATCAATTTTGATTTATAGATTGGTTATGGATTATTTGTGTCAACACTTACTTATAAATACCCACATGACATCATTACCACGGAGACTGGGAAGGGTACTGTGCAACATACTTTTTGCATACAATGTATCTTGCATAACAAAATAAAAAGAGCAGCATCTCAAAGACAGTGATGGAAAGCCAAGTGAGCAACTAAGGTTCTCAGTGTTTGGGAATACTTCCAAACTTGAGCCTTCCTGCCTTTGTCTTGTTGTTGTTGTTGTTGTTGTTTTGATATCTTGGCTCAAGTTACCAAAAAGCACAGAGTCTGAGACAGGAATTTGCATGCAGCTAGTTTATTCTGGAAGGTGATTGTAAGAAACTGAAATGGGAGACTGAGAAGAATAAAACAGAGAAAGTATAATAAGAAATATATATTTAGTCTTTGTCCCCCATACTGACACAGAGCTTCTAAAACCCTTGAGAAGTTCTTGAGTGATAAGAACTATAGGAGCATCTTTTGTTATTCATAACAAGCCCCTTTCAACCATACCTGGGTTTATGATAATGAGGTGAATCTAGGTGGGCCCCTAGATAGCTTCAGGATAGGGCATGGTTGCCAGAGGAACCAACTATGTGATTAGAGGGTTGGAACCTTCGGCTCCATCCCTGGACTTCTGGGTGGGAGAGAGAGACTGGAGATTGAGTTCAATCACCAATGGCCAATGATTTAATCCATCATAAAACCTCCATAAAAACCATTAAAAATGGGCTTCAGAGAGCTTCAGGGTTGGTGAACACATTGAGGTGCTGGGACGGTGACACACCCAGAGAGGGCACAGAAGCTCTGTGCACCCCTCTCCACTTGCCTTATGTATCTCTTCCATTTGGCTGTTCCTGAGCTGTATCCTTTATAATATACCAGTAAACATTAAGTAAAGTGTTTCCCTGAGTTTTCCCTGAGCCATTCTAGCAAATTATCAAACATAAGGAGGTGGTTGTGGAAACTCTTTATAGCCAAGTGGTCAGAAGTACAGGTGGCCCAGACTTGCGGGTTCATCTAAAGTGGGGGCCCTCTTGTAAGACTGAGCCCTAATCTGTGGGATCTCTGCACATTCTGGGTAATCAGTGTCAGAACTGAATTGAGTTGTAGGACACCCAGTTGGTGTGGGAGAATCAGCTGATATGGGGAAATAACCCCACACATTTAGTGTCAGAAGTGATGTGAGGGTAAAAACATGTAGAGGGAGGACAAACCCATCTAAATGCACATTAATGAGCTTACCCTGCTAGCCTACCTGAATGCAATGCAGAACTGTTTACACGAAGAACACAAGAGGGAAGTATTCATGTATAGGTCTCTGCCCCATTGGTGAATGGCTTCCCCAGGAAGCGTGAATTCTCTCACCCTTGCAGGTTTATGCATAGGTGCAAGGGGTTGAGTGCATTTCCATGGACATCCCGCACAACAGTAGCAGAGAAGTCCTGAGGCACAAATATTAGGTCACCTGAGACAACTTTCTATCAGGTTGTATCTCCATACAGCTGTTGTCACAAGAGGTGAGCAATACTGCTGACCTCCTATCCCTCTTAACTATCACATCAATTACATTCTCAAATATCTGCTGTATTTATTTAATAAAGTTCCAAATCAACCATTTAAAAAATAAATTATTTCTTTCACTATCCAATAAAAAATAGCAAATGTAAATAAGTATAGCAAAAGTAAACCATCAAAGCATTTTCTCTTAACATAATTGTGCATGATGCTGTGGTAAGCAGTTAGTTGAAAATGCAATCCTAAATCATTATTGGATATGGCTGTGATCAAAAAAAACAGCCTGTGATTCACAAGACCCTTTCAACAGATGAATATTTCTCTACATTTATTCTGTTAGTATAAAAAGCATACCTAAACTTAACATGTACCACCAGGAGGTGGTTTTATGCCAATAATGAAGAGCAAGGAGAGCTATACAAAAGTAAAATGGACTCCTTTGTAGAATAGAGAGCTCCATATTGGGGCCGGCCCCATGGCGTAGCAGTTAAGTGCGTGCACTCTGCTGCTGGCGGCCCGGGTTCGGGTCCCAGGTGTGCACCAAGGCACCGCTTGTCAGGCCATGCTGTGGCAGTGTCCCACATAAAATAGAGGAAGACGGGCACAGATATTAGCTCAGGGCCAGTCTTCCTCAGCAAAAAGAGGAGGATTAACATGGATGTTAGCTCAGGGCTGATCTTCCTCACAAAAAAAAAGAAAAGAAAAGAAAGCTCCGTATTCGTTCAGTGAATTATGGTATCCTGATATATTAAGTGAAGGAAATGCATAAGTAACCAAATAAACCCTAATAGACATGAAAATGCCATCACAGGCGAGTGCTAACTGTCAGGAGAGCAGAGAGAAGTGTAAAGGAATTAAATACATCAGAGGAATTCAAGAAACATTCACGGAAGGTGACCAGGTTACAGGCTACCCTCACATGGCCGTCTCTTCCTCCTCAGGACTCCTGGAAGGAGATGGGTCGGAACAGACACCCTTGTGATTACAAGACTCTCAGGACTTAGCTTTGGCTAGTATTTCAGTGCCCAATATTAACTCAATCTCCCCCTTCTTTGACTCATATTTTCTCCCACACAAAAAAAAACAAATCCCATTTTAGAATGTTTCACATCAGGTTTATGTATCTTCCAACCTTAACTGTTCTAAAGCTGTATTTGTGCTACAGCTTCTGAAATTGTGCTTCAGTGAACATTTTAACGGACTTGTGGCCATTCTGTTCACTCAGTTTCTCCTACTCTACTTCACTATCACAGAGCTGCTTAAAAACCATGCTACACACTCACTGCTGACATTCGCAGAGCCCACTCTACCCCATTGTGTGGAGTGCTTTCTCTACCTTGATTGTGACTCCTGCCCTTTCGTGTTGAGGATGCTTATCAGCGACACTGATTAGAATGGTGAGAATGTGCTCATACATAGTGTGCTTACATTACATTTATCAAAGACTGACCACCAGCTCTGCTCTAGGCTTTCCTTTTGAAGATATATTTACGTCACGTGGAATGAGAATTCCTCAGTAGTGTGTTTTATTTTTCTTAATTCAAGTTGTATTGCATATTTTTATGAGAGTCCTAAATACATTTAAAGATAGGTGACAACAAAGAGACGGCATTTTGCTTCTGTTTTATAGTCTTTTGTCCACTTGCTTTATTAGAAATTCTTACATAAATAACTGAAACAATGACTCTAATGGTGAGGGAAGATGTAATGGACAATTAATTTTTTTAAAGGAAATAGATAGATATCAATCAAACATTGGGAATGCTATTTACAATGATGCATGGTATATTGTCAGTAGTTCAGGAACCATCTATAGGATGTTGTAGTTTTAAAACATGGCCTTCAATTTTTTTACACACCTCTCATTGAAAGCTGGTGTCTGTGTCTGCACCCCTTGAATTGGGGCTCTGTGAAAACTTGAAAAATAGAATATAGCAAAAGTAACACTGTTTCTGAGTGTTACTCAGTATCTGTTTCTGAGCCCAGGCTTTACGAAACTAGCAGCTTTCACTTCACGTCTCTTGGGATACTTGCTCCTGGAACCCAGCCACCATGCTTTGCGGAACTCCAAACAGCCCATGGAGAGGTCCAGGTAAAGAGGAAAAAGATCCCCAGCCCACAGCCCACTGACTGAGTTCCCAGACAATGGCCTGTACCAACTTGCTAGCCATGTGATAGTGCCATCTTGAAAATGGATCCTCTAGCCTGTGTCCAAGCAGCCCCAGCTGATGATATCCAGTAGAGATGAGCTGCCCCCTGTGTCAGGCTCTGCCCAAATTGCAATCCATCAGAAATGAAAAAAGTGGATTGTTGTTCAAGCCACCATGTTTTGGGGTGATTTGTTATACACTAACAGAAATTAGAACATAGAATTTTATAATATACCTTAAAAACTCCTAAATCCCACACAAAAGTTAAAAGAAAGAAAATTAAAAAGTAATAAATGCATATACATTTTACATGCATATATCAGGTATATTTTATATACATGTATCAGTTGTAGAGATGTTCATGTGTTCTCGTTATAAACGAGAAAATGGTCACCAAAAGGTTGAGAGATTTGCCCAAAATTAAGAATTTAATGAGCAGAGTCATCAGGATTAAAATGCAACCCTCCAGCCTCCTGCTTTGATGTTTTGCTAATATGTTGTGCCCCTTTGCACACGGCCTGTGTTTGAAAGGCATTTGTTTTCTGGGGTAGGTCTGCACTTAATTGGCATTCTTTAAAAGAAAACTCCAGCACTAATCATGGCAAAGGAAACTCACATTACATTGGACGTCAAACGCATGTCTCAGACATAAACATCTATTTTAGGATCCAAGTTCCTTCTCTAAGCCTTGATAAGTAGTATTTATTAATTATTGGCAACAAGACGCTATCCAAACATCTGGGCAGTGCAGTCAATTATACCATTAAGCAAGGAAAACAGAACAGCAAAACTCCAGCAATAACAAAAACAATGGCCAACCAATTAAAATTTTAAAGGTTAGCGAAATAAATATGTCAGATGATTGGCTCTCATTGTTTGCAATTTGAGAATCTACTGACCCATCATTGAAAATCAATTTAAAATAGATCCACCTACCATCTCAGAAAATATCACTTGATGTTTCCATTCCTATGATAAATTTACTGAGAAGAGAACCTACGTAACTGGTATTTCCTACAGTGCTTGCACTTAGTTAACACCCAATAAATATATAACAACAAAATCAAAGAATAAAATGCCAAGTGGAAGAGGTTAGACAAACCTGATAAAGTCAAACACACAAAGGAGAAAACGTGAGCAGATCGTAAATCTTGTGTGTGTACTCAACTGAAATACCTGCAGCACTGCTCAGGGCTCCCTTCCACACCACAGGA